ATATATATATATATATATATATATATATATATATATATATATATATATATATATATATATATATGATATTTAGTTATCATACAATTGGTTAACTATTGGTTATATATAACTTAATATATAACTTAATATATATATATATATATGTATATATATATATAAGTAAATATAAATAGTTAATTTAAAGATTGATTACCTCTCTGCAAAAATTTGTCCAATTAATTAACACTTTTTTCACTCAACTCTAACTCATTACATAAAAAAGAGTGACGTAGTGGCTTCATTGTCAAAAAATACGCAATAAAACGACAAATCTTGTCATATCCATATGAACTTTTGAGAAAACCAGGTGTTATTTAACATACTTATTTTAAAATTGCATGTTAGTCGTTGTCGTTTTCGTCCACGCACAGTTTTATAACGTTTATTAGTGCATTGTAGAATAAAGTTTTGATATACACTTGTATAAGTTTTCATATTTGAGACATTGGATATTTTCACTTGTACATGTTTTCATATTTGAGACATTGGATATTTTCACGAGTAACTTGTTTATATATAAGATACTGCGTTAGAGCATTAAAATCATGAGTTAAGTGCAAAAATTCGTGTATAATAAATACATTATATTATTAATGTAATACACTATTAATCGTATTAATATATGAAATACAGTAAGAAGTTCATACCTCGAAGAACTAAATGAGACTGCGAGATAATTCATAGGTATAGAAAGTAATAAACACTAGAGACAATGAGTACTGTAAGCATTCATAAGAAATATTGAAATATAAACACAAGATAGTATCAACGCGAAGCAAAGGTTACATTTTCTCGTGCTTATAATCCGAAAGAAAATCTACAATTTCTAGGTATAGCTTCCGGAATGGAGCCGTGTCTTGAATCTGCGATGTGCCGACGTTTCGAAAGTTTACAATTATTTCGTTCCATACATATGTTTTTGACTTTGCATGCAAAATCACAAGAGACTACTGAAGTATGTAGCACATATATATCGTACTTTGGCTCATTAACAATACATATAATATCCAAAAATCACAATACATTTTTCGAAATTCTTTTATAAATAACTTTTTAACAAACAACGAGCGACGGCTGAAACTCCGAGTTTCACTTCTACTTTGAGCCTGTAAATATTGTAGAAATATAAGACTTATAGGATTAATGAAGGATATCTTCAGATATAGATATTATGCTCTTTTAATACTACAAATTGACAGTTATTTCCGCTTCTACCAAGTTTCAGATTTGAAGGAGGACTTGTTGGGATCCTCTAAAACGGCTACAAGTCCTATTCTTATAAAACTCTAGAACGGTTGTAGGTCCTACCCTGACAGCACAAAAATTTTTACAAAGCATTTATAAGATTTATTTAAATATTTTTTTTTCTTTTCCTGAATTATTCTTAAATTTTCCACTCTCTCTCTTTATTGTTTCATATGCTACACTTAATTCAAGTTTAAATTGTACTTCGAAAATTTGCTTACCATTGCTGGGATTTGAAACTGAGACCTTTAAGTTTTTGAGTCGTTTACCTTACCTACTGCGCCAACTGTCACTTTGAATGAAAAGTGCTTCGTATTGTATACATGCGCTGTTTTGTATTATATGTATATCCATGTACGAAAACAATTTATTTAAAAGAAGAGGATAGATCCTTTTAAATGTAAAAAGTATGTAAAAAGTATATTTAAAAAATATTTACTTTTAAAGTAAGTAAAATATAAATAAATTACTTTGTAAATTTAAATAAATTGTTTTCTGATAATAAAAGAAACTTTAATTTAAAACACAAAAAAAGATACTTTTAGAAAAAAAAAATTTTTTTTCTAAAATTAGAAAATAATTTATTTAGATTAATAAAATAATTTACTAGTATTTCATTTACTTTTAAAACAAACAAATATTTATTTAAACACAGTTTTTACATTTAAAAAATATCCTTTTCTTCTTGTGTGCGTAAAGAAATAATTTGTTTATTCTTATATATAGATATTTTAAATGAAAGAAATTATTTTTTATCTAGAAATTTATAATTTTACATTTTACAAATTTAAACACATATTACCTTATATTTATTACATAGCTCAGAGAATTCAAAAAGAATTCAGTCGTATGTCACCAATTTTGAGTTCATTTTTAGATGCAAAAGGAATTCTTTTCACTGAACTGAATTCTGAAGAATTTTTTGTATCTGAAAATGAACTCAGAATTGGTAAATTAATATGACTGAATTCTTTTTTAATTCTTTTTTAATTCTCTGTGCTACCTAGGATATTTTCTAAAATCTAACAAGTATTTTTTTAAGTTAAAAAATTATATTTAACAAAATATATTTCTTTAATTTAAAGAATTTTTTCCAGTATACATTACCAATTTAAATTTCGATTTTCTTATTTCTTTATTAATTTAATAATTATAAACAATTATATTTATTTTTTTTATGTATAATATTTACATAAATATTTATAAAATATTACTACACATATTTATTTTTTGTTTACCATAGATATTGTATAAAATATTTAGTCTATATTTTAATCATATTTTAAATAAGGATTTTGATTCTTTTACCTTTATGTACATAAAATATTTATATAATATTTTTAAAAAATAATTTGAAATAAATATTTATAAATCTTTATCATAAATATTGTGTGCTGTGTGGGTATGCTTTAAGCGTTTCCCGAAAAAATATTAAAAATTTATTAAAAAGAGTTTAAAAGTTTTAGGATATTTTATTCTACTTCTTTTTTTGGTTAATGGGCATATATAAATGTTATCGACTTCAATATAGATACATACTCATATTAAAGATTCTATTGGAATAGCTATAAAGTTATTAGTTTTATGACATTTCTGCAAAAAGAAACTTATGTCCGCTACATTATTATTACTTCGAACAATGAATACATTGTCATTCGCAATTTTCTGTATAACCACATGTTTTTTTGTTGACATCAACAGATCTGTTTGTTGCACTTTTGATGCATAGTTTTAATAAATTGAATATCTCCAAAGTACATTTAATTCTCATTATTTACGTACAACACAACAGAAGATTTCGTCTATAAATTGACTTTGTATATTTGCAACACATATAAATACCTATTT